ACCGACTAGTCGGCTACTCGTCCAAAAAAATCACTGTGTAGTCGACTACCAAAAAGGGGCTTTCAAAACAGGCTTACTGCAGACGGGCTCTAAAGAGTAAAAATTATAAAAGACTCAACGCTAGACTTTTCTAGAATATATTCCAGTAAATTACACAGAGGTTTTAAGACAGCCTACAGTAGATAATAAACATTTATGTAGAACTATTGTAGGAACGAAAAATCCACACAGTATACATCTCTACCAATTATTTGATCTTAATAATAGTTGATAAATGATAACAAAATGAAAAAAGTAGCAATAATGAGGGATGGAGATACGCGTACCAAGCGGCAGACTTCAAAGATAGTCATAATGACAGACTAGATGAATTCACTTGTTTGTCTTGTTGTATGGATTTGATTTTTATAGTGACAGTATTCTGTGAATTATCCCTGTCTGGAAAGATTTATTAGTTTATGGAAACTATTGGAAACTTAAAGTATACCAATCACTTAGAAATAATTTGTGTACAGCCAGAATATATAAAATGAACCTCATATTACACTTACAGTTAACAAGTGAATTATTCATACCCCTTGTAAATTTTAATGATTTTTTGTTTGTTGTTGTTGTTGTAACTCAAGAATGCAAGGTGGACTGGTTGAAATGGGGGCTTTGTTGAATACTTCTAGATGTAACTTTTAATATGTCACATCCTCAAGAAACATAAATTGGTACAAGTAAATCTTACACTCACTTAAAGCTTATCTGCCATAGTTTACAGGAGGGATTAGACCGCTCTGCAAGGTCACTGGACAGGTGGTGATCTCATCAACTCAGCTCTCAGTTAACATAAGAAAAAGAGGATCATGTGGGACCAATGGTCACCGATTAGGCATTGTTTGTTATATAGAGGGCGCAAGTAGCTACCAGTAGTGCAGTGGGCCTTTAAGAACTGACAAAACTTGTAAAGCGTATGAATAATTTAGTTGTTAACTGTACCTGATATTCTTTGGGTTAACGATTAACGAGAATGAAGAACATAAGGTAATCTTGACGAGTTGATGAATGCATCCGATCAGATTGCGTTTGCTAGTTGACAAAATAATCACTTTTGTGTTCTTTGACAGTGTCTTTAAACTTGAAATATATAGAAGAGTAATGGTTGTAGCTACATATCTTGAATGTAGTATACTTAAGCTTGACATCGGGTTGCCTAATTGTCATACCAAACACAAATATACCGTAAATCTCTGGTATATGAGGCGCACCTGTGTATAAGGCGCACCCCTATTTTTTTTCTGTACCTGTGTATAAGACGCACCCCCGAATTTAAGTTTTATCGGCGGCAAAAAAGTGCGCTTTATACACAGAGATTTACGGTAGTTTGATGATTGCAATAGGTACCCTTTAACAAAGGATGTCAAAGTTTACTATTTTCCTCTCATTTAAATGTACAAAAATTATCAAAGGTACCCGTGTTTATTGTGAATTATTCTATATCATTCTTCTCAGTGTAGAGATTATATTTCTTTGTCAACATATCATTGTCTGGAGTTCAGGAGTGGGGGGGGGGGGGGGGGGAGGGGGGGGGGGGGGGAGGTGTTTCACAAAGATCCTAAGTTGAACATGAAATTAATTTTGACTTGATCTTTGTAAAACACCCCCCAGATCTTTATAACTGATGGCCTAGCATGCCAGCACTCCTGAGAAGTGAATCATACCACGCTATAAGAGTTTTTATTCTGACATTAAAACCCCCACAATGTATGTGATTTCACGGTACATTAATCTCATTTTGTGACAGATAATGGATTTAGGTTCTCAGGAACACAGAAATGTTATGCATGCCTCTTTGCCATCAGTCAGGTCCTCTTTGTAGAAGTCTTTTAAAGATTGTGTCAGATATTTTCAATGAAAGGAAGGGGCTATGACTCAAAATGAATCTAGAATAGACAGATTTACTACCATATTCAAATTTTATAATTTACAGCAATAATAGAAGATATTACCGTGACAATGCTATAGCCAACAAAGAAACAAACAACAAAGAAAGCAAACAAAAAACAAACAAATGAATAAAATTAGACACATAAGCAAACTGACAGACAAACAGACAGACTCACAAATGGGCAGACCAACAGACAAATGAACAACAAACTTGCAACACACGAACAGAAAAGAAACAAGCAAAAATATACAAGGATAATGGAAACAAGTATTCAAAAGAAAGCTAGTTGCAGACAAAAGATTACAAGAGTATGGAACGGATGAAAAAAAAGGAAACCTTTACAGGGAACTTGGTATTGGAATTGGTGGCATCAAAAGTCAGAGCATGAACTTGTTTTTTCCCAAAAAATTTGTGAGGTCTTGGGAGAAACTTGATACCCGACGTTTGACCATAAGCAATGTCAGTTCAAGATGACCATCTAGACCTGATGAATGAAATTACGACAAAGTAGCGGAAACTCATTTCACAGCAATTGCATTTGGCTCTGAAGTGATGATATGCAATGGGTTACTACAACAAATTTGTTTTGGAATAATCCCCACAAAAGCATGACATTTATTGTAATAATTGGTAGTTAAAAGGCATGGGTTGTACTGAGTTTTGGGACAGATAGCTTTTTCACTGGTTCATTGTAATTTATTAACAGGTCACATTTCAATCCTGTTGTTAAATGACAGATGACAAATGATGGAATAAAGGAAATGAAAAACAATTTGAACTTAGGAGATGATCACTTCATGTATACTAAAATCTTTTTTGAGAGTGGGGACAATTTGTTAAAAGTAGACCCTATAGCAATTTTAGAACCTTGACAACAAATGGACAGAAAACCATTTACTGTATTTATCATTTTTGTTTTCAAAACTATGCTGTATGAAAAATCAGCTTGAAATGCCTTGGAATGTTCATAAAACATAAGCTGTTGAATTGTGCTGTCATATCATATGACAGCACAATGTTTTCCAACTTTGGCATGACTCATTGTACAGAAGTCAAAGTTCTAAGCGTTGTTTATTTCTGATTTCACTCAGACGTTTTTATCAACTTTTCGAATTCTCCAACTTTGGTATGAAGCATTGGACATGAGTCAAAGTTCTAAGGGTTGTTTATAATAATAATAATAATACAATGTTTATAAAGCGCATAATAAACTCAGATATGTTTTCAGGATAAACCATGCACAGGTACCCATTAGGCTTGTCATCATCAGCTTGAGTTTGCCATATAGCCTGCCATTTCTGATTCAGGAAATTAGCCCGAAGGTACAAATCGCGTCCTCATCAGCTCAGAACTCGGGCTCGAGAAATTAGCTCGAGATATTTTGGTCAGTGTTCACGCATAGTGCAAGTCTTCGGGCCGGTGAAGGCGCATCGGACAAACAGCGGGCTATTTTTCAAACTAGCCCAAGATATCTTGGGAAGATTTCCCGAGCAAAAAGCCCAGTATTTGCATCTTCACCTGCCAAATAGCCTGCTATTTTGTGATTGGGCTAATTTCCCCTATATGAAGTAGCCAGCTATTTGGCAAACTCTGTCTGATGAGGACAGGCCTAAAGAGAACTTCTCTTCCCTTTTTGCATCCTAAATTGGTTTGTGTACCGGTGACCTGTGGGCGGAGGAGATGGGGGAGGTTAAATGAGAGACATGGGTCATTTGACTGACCCACAACTGACCTTCGTAGGCCTTCAATCTCTATTACAATGCACTGCTGAGGCACGAAGCGTTTAGCACTAATTGGCAAAAATGGCTCAATCGGAGTGCTCCTCTGTTGTGATATTTGCGTGGGGATTATTTCGGGAATGTGGGGTATCAGTGTCAGCGAGATATTTATCATTATTCGATGTCGTAGGCTGGTATCCATCACCAACTCGTATCGTAGTGCGCCAAGGGGAAGGTTTGGAGTGATTAATGTTATTGTGTACCTGAGTCATACCTCTCAGCATTAAAGATTCACTATGTAGTGAATTGTAGGTGCTGAAAATACTTTCTTCAGATGTGCATGTGCAAATAAGATCGGAAATGACATTTCAGATGAATTTCAATGTTTCCTGCAATGTGTCTATTCTAGTTCCATTAGTAATAATCATGATCATCACCATTTGATGAATGATCTTGTTCATGTACATATATCTCAAAACTCCCAAACTGGATTTCTAGTTTACAGCAAGAACTACACTGTGGCATAAGAATTAAATCTTGGATAATACAACATGTACGCTGCATATTTTTAACTGAATTGGGTTTTAAAACTTTTTAATGTTTTTGATATAACATCTTGAATATCTTTCTTTTTCACACACCTCACATATATTGTTTATTCCTCTGTTTGACCTTTTTATCTATAAATGCAATCTGAAAGGGCCGTAATGAATACTGTCATACACAGTAACTTTATGTGATATAAAATGAAATATTCTCAAATTCTGCGAGTGGTTCAGATTTACGAAAGTTTCATGCTGTGAAAAAGTGAATCAAAACAGACACCATAATGAATTTTCCTGAGTCGTGAAAGTTTCTTGCTGTGGAAATCAGTAAATCACCCTCATTTACAATTGACAAAAGTTGCATGTCTCAAAAGATTCTGGTCTTGTATGAATTGTTTGTTGCTCTTCATATGATACCAGCAACGTACATGCAACTATGGTTCCCAGGTAGATATTTGCAAGAAGGTGTTTCCTGAAATAGATTTTGAACACAATGAAAATAAAAATCTCTCATTCAATTCATCTGACATTCCACCATCCTCCAGTATGCTGGAAAAGGGAAAGATGTTTCCTTAAAGCCCCACTGCACTACTTATAACTACTTGCGCCCTCTATAAAGCAAACAATGCGTTATCGGTGCCTGTTGGTCCCCCATGATCCCCTTTTTCTTATGTTAATTGAGAGCTGATTTGATGAGATAACCACCTGTCAGTGACCTTGCAGGAAGGTCTAAATCCCCTGGCCAAACTAGTGCAGACAGGCTTTAAAAGTCATTTCCTTGAAACAGAATAAATAAAAACCTTTACATTTTTCAACATTCTTTCCATCTTTCTTTCAGGACGATGGATTCCTACCTGCCAATGGCTACCTCCCTCTCACCGGTGGTGAACAAGACTTCTACATGGACACACTGCCTTCTAGTGGTGATGCAGAGGCCAAGGCTTCAACGGGGGCGCCGCCACCCCCAAACTCCAACCAAGCAGACACACAAGGTAGCAGCGGAGGGGGAAACCTTCCTCCGGAAACGCTCAACGATGGCGTTGGAGGTATCACATCGGCCAATCCAAACTCGATCACGTCGCCGCGCCTGGTTTACACGCAGGTGACGCCCACGGACGACGAGGATCTCGTTGAGGGATCAGGAACCGATGGAAGCGGGCTACCACCGGTTTCTGGTAAGTCCACATCTACACAAGATGATGTATATACAGTCAAACCTGCTTTAGTGACAACCTGTCTACAAAGACCACATTTTTGTTGCCCTTGTAACTGGTTTTTCATCGAAACATGTACTAAAGGAACCTGTTTACAAAGACCACTTTTTGTGTTTCCCTTGGGTGGTTGCTATAGACAGGTTTGACTGTATCTTAATGCTGTCTACAACACCATACCTACTAAATGTACATGCAGCTTTAATGATAAGGAGCTTTATAATAAGTAATCTATTAATTGACATGTATGTGCATTGGTATAATAATCCATTATTTTTACATTTGAAATTGGTGGTTATATTTCAATAGCTATTACAGTTTATTCATTCATTCAAACATGATAAAAAAATCATGAAAATAGTTTTTATGGGAAATTAAATTATTCTGGCTTTAAAGGGGAAGAGCATGAAGGAATGAAAAGCACTTCTAAATTTAATGCTCTGCCCTCTAGTGGTGCAACAGGAGGTCTGTTTTCATCAGACAGAAGTTGCAATTAGCAGGCTATTTGGTCATGAAAATATCCCTAGAAATGTCTGTCTCATTTCCAAAATAGCCTTCTATTTGGGTAATAGCTGGCTAATTTGCACCCGTCCTAATTAGTGTGTGATGAGGGTATTGGTCTGGTGAAGGTGCAACTTTGAGCTACAGGAAAATACCCCCAGTCTGAAAACAGCAGGTTATTTTGCCACTTTGGTCTGATGAGGACAAGCCTAGAGACCTACCGTAACGATTAACAGGGGCACCTCCAAAGTCCAACCAAGCAGACCAATATGATACAAACTTAGACCTAACTTTGAAGTGATTGATGATTCACCCAATTTTCTTTTCATTTTTGTTGTTGTATTAGTTGCATACTACAGATCTGGCTTCCTACTCACCAATGTTCAGTTTGTGTCAGAACTGCAGTACAGGAACTCAACCGATTTTCAGACAGTTTCAGAAAACGTTAGGATAGCGGTAAGTATGCACGATCAGGGTTTTCTTTTTACTAGTGCTTAACACCTTTGGTGCTTATACCAAACACAGGGTACATAGGAAATAAATGCCAAGGTCAGATTCTTAGGATACCAATGCATGTTGGTACGGTGCTTAACGCCTTTGGTGCTAATACCAAACACAGGGTACTTATAAATAAATAAATGCCAAGGTCAGATTCTTCAAAAAATTTGTTGTCAAGAAGCCCTTTCAGTTCAGAATTGCGATTCCTCTATCGAAAAGGATGCCAGGAAATAAGAAATTCTGTCCTAGAAATTTCCCACGATGGCACCCTGTCGGTCTCTTGTTTGATTTTCTAGTAGAAAAGGCATCATCATGAAAAATTACCAATTTTTTATAATGGCGTGAAGGAATTTGTCTATATTCTCTGTTTTGATATGATGAATGTTATCTTTTCACAATGTTGCCTAATGTACTGTAACTAACCAAACATTCAGAGTAATTTACAAACAATACAGTCATTAGTTATATTTACATAGGGAGTAATATTTATCCTTCAATGTTAAACATTCACATTTGATTGTTATATTGATGTACTTTTTGTTTGGATGAGAAAACTTAAATGATGAATGTTTTCTTTTCACAATGTTGCCTAATGTACTGTAACCAAACAAGCACACAAAGTAATTTACAAGCACTACAGTCACAAGTGAAATGTACATAGGTAGTAATATTTATCCTTTCAATGTTAAACATTCACATTTGATTGTTATATTGATGTACTTTTTGTTAGGATAATAAAACTTCAAACTCACTAACTCAATATGTCATTGCAAGTATTATAATTGAAGGCATTATCATTTCTGCTCCCCCAAGAAATTAAGTCCGTAAATGTCTTTATCCTTGCAGATATTCATGGTTTCGGGTAAAAACAGCAATTATGCATGGATAACCATCAAGACACTGATTATTGATGATATAACAATATTGCTGATAGAATGTCGCTATGAAAGACAGTAGCTGTAAAGCTTTAATTGCCTTCTACCGTTAGCATCTAAATACACAGATATTGGTTTGATGAGAGTTTTTTGTTTGTTCTATTTTTCCTTTTTGTTGTAACAATCTATTTGTTATTTTTCTCTTGTTTTCCTAATAGGTTGAAGACTTGTATGCAGATTTACCAGGAGATCAATTTGTAACAATATTGCAATTTTTGTAAGTATTCCATGGGAGACTCGATACTTTCCTTGCCAACTATCTGGAGCTAACCTCACACTCTACTTTCATTGTGGGATCCAATTTACAAACAAGAAATGGCAATTTATTAGATAAAGGAATTTAAACAAACAACATATTCCTGATTTAGGTTCTAAATAACGATTAGAATATGAACAACCAAAATTTCAGTGCATTTAAGCTGTATAGTAGGAATGAAAGTCGGATGGGCTTCAAATCCTAGACAATTCCCTTTCTAACGTGCAATTGTATAATCATTGCAATGTGGCTTTGCCTTAATAATGTTTTTTTTTAAATCAACAAACCATTTATCTATCTAGCCACACTACTGGTCTGATGTCCCTACAATTCTGATCCATGTCTACCTTTATACTATCTTATGCTCACTTGCCTCACATGTGGAACTTTAAGCACACATCAATTCAATCAAACGCAAGCAAAACTTTCTGAAATCACCGATTTCATTTACTCATTCAAAATCTCGATTGTTTTGAAGCTAAACCAAGCTGCAACCGGTTTCAAAATTCATTTGGGATTTTTCAAAATATGAACCGGAAAATTAAAAGGATTGCTTGTTATCTATACACGTACCAGTGCCTAAGCTTCTTTTTATGTCAATTAATCCCACGATTATATTGAAATATCCAACCTGGTTGATGTTATCATTTTTTTTTTTAGGATTTCCACTCCCACATTTTGTGATTCATAAGAAGAAAAAAAAATAGAAAAAGGAGTAGGAGTAGAAGAAAAGAAAAAAAAGTAAACATTCCACCTGCCTATAGCCACCCATCAAGCTAGCATGCGTGTAATTGAAAACACACAATGTCTGCCAAGTATCGGCAAATACTTTAACACCATCTCAAATACCTCTTTCATGGTCAATTTCTTTGCTATTCAACTTGTCAAAAGCTCCCCCTAATCCTGCCACTTAACTATAAATTTCCACTTCTGAAGATATTTCTGAAAGATGAATTAATTGATTGCAGAAAGGTATTTGTGACCAGTGGAGTGTGATTATGGGATCGGGAAGATTTATAAATATGGTTCTCGTCTTTCTTTGCACATTTTATTCCCATCTTTCATGTCACTGTAAACGGCATCCATGAATTAGTGCTTTGAAATATATCAAAAGTAATCGAGCTTGTCATGAGCATCGATGTGAAGCTATGTCTACAAGCATAGATCACTTGTTAAGCAGTCGTTGTCAAGTTTTGTCAGACTGAATTATTCTGTGTCATTTCTGTCATTATCGGCAATAATTGTTTTCTTTATTGCTCTCTCACGCTGGCAAGCTTACGAAACAAGATGAGATAAACATTCAGTGGCAATATTTTTCTTTCTTCAGGCAGATGTTTTTGACATATTTTGGACTAATTTCCTGCCTGCACTTGACAGGAAAACAAATTTACAAGAAGTGTTGATTGCCTTTCAGCTCTTGATAATTTTTTTATGCCTCTGATATGAGCCTTGTTATCACAATACGTCAAGAACTTTTTGAGGTGTGAGCTTCGAACATGGTTATAGTATTACCATAGGAAGACGATCCAATTATATTTGTAATTATTAGGTCAAAGACCATAGTTATTAGCTGATATGTAAGCTTCATCATGATATTTCAAGAATAATTCTATTCATTTCCTTAACTGAATTTAGTGCGGAGATATATAGGAGACGTAGAATGTATGTGTCTTCCTGTCCAATAGCCAATAATATGTGTGTGGTTATACATTTAATATATGTTTACTTTATTTCTTGAGAATATGACACTTTAAAGCTTACATCTAAAGGTATTCAACAAAGGCCTTGCTTTAACCAGTCCACCTTTCATTCTTGAGTTACAATTAACCGAAAAAGCATGAAATTTACAAGGGGTATGAATAATTTAGTTATTAACTGTATATCTGTTTCCCACCTGTATTTCACTGCGCTTCACTCACCAAGTAATGAGGCAATGAGATTTATATCAACACGAGATTACTGATTACATTTATGTGTATCTGGGCTTAACAGATCATATCTTTAACTGGTAAACAATCCGTCCGTCTGAAATGGGTCAAAAATTCAACTTAACAATGGGGTTAGTAGAGCTCCGGATATTTACAATATAATGCAATACAATAAAATACAATACAACAAGTTTGTTGATGTAGCTCACTTACTCAATACCATAGAGAAAAATTTGTTGCATCAGCTATCGTACCAAAAAGACTGGAAGAATTAATAATTTTAGGAAGATATTTGAATATTCTTTGGACAGTTGTGTAATTATGCGACAGTACCATGATAGCACTTGCCTAAATAACTACATGCTTGTCTTTATTTTGAAATAATCATATAATGTCAAAGACATCATTTTGCTTTTATGTTTATCGTTTGGATTTGGCTGGGCATACAAGTTACAAGTTTTGATTTGCTTGCAAATTGGGGGCCCTGGTATCTACATGCAGTACAAGGATTGGGCATTTTCAGGCACATGTATATAACATAAAGCAAGAGAGTGTAGAGTTAAAATAAATAAATTCTCATACAGGGAAGTTCTTACGGCTTGTCTACCCTAGCAAAACGGAGCAAAACTATGCCCAAACCTCTTGTTTCTTTATGATGCTGCGTATCGTTTTATGAAGTTCAAGCAAGGAAATTGTTTTTGTCTAGCTGTAGGGTTAAGTGTAAGCCTGTAGCACAAAACGAAACTTATTTTTTAGGTGTGAATGGGGGCTTTTCAGAGACCTGTCTGGCCAAGTGTTACTATAGGTTCATTGTCACTAGGCAGCATCACAAGTGGGTGAAATGGGATTGATCAATTACCTTGGGATTGGGAGATGAATTAAATGAGGTTCTGAGAGGGTTTGGGATTATGGGATGAATCAAGTGGGGTTGAGCCTGCATGCGTTTAGACTCCCAGGGTATCGTTTCATGAAAACGTCATAGATGTAGGTACAAGTTCATAGGCATCATATTAAAGTGTGTGTATTATTAACTCAACCCTTTGAACCCTGAATTATTTGCATATTTTGTGAGCTATACCCTGAATTATTTCATGAGTTACGCATATTTGATACTTTCCACTTACTGACCACTTGCTCCTTCGCCACACGGACTTAGATCTGCCCCGCTTGTACCAGGCTGGACGTGGTATCATACAGAAATCTATAACTGAGCGGACTTTGTTGTGAGCACACATTGATGATTGGCCAGCTGTCGCGTCAATTGACCTCAAAATTAGTTTCCTTTATACAACATTTCTTTATACATTGTTTGTTCATGCGATTTTGTTATCTACAGGTAGTCTGTAGGCTCCTATACAACAAGTCTTTATACAACGTTTCTTTATTTGTGAGAGTTTCAAATAAGTTTCCCTTAGTATGAACAGGCTGTAAAGAGAGGGTTTTGGGATTGGGAGTTGAATTAAGTAGGGTTAAGGGAGGGTATGGGCAAACAGGTTAATCCAGTACAAGTGGATCATGTAATCTTGACATTGATTTGATAGACTGGATAATAGTCGCAAGATGAAGGTTAAAACTGACTGGGAAGTTCAAAGTGTACCAATTCTAGAAAACTGTTTTGTTAAGGAGAAGCAATAACTCAGTGGTAGAGCAGTGGTTTGAAATAAAGTATATGAGCTTGTGCCCTTTGGTAAGGCATTAATCCTCATTACCAAGCCCCTCGGAGAGGACTTAAAAAAACTGTTGGTCCCCTGGTTGTTTGCTTCCAAGCTGTAAGCAAGTTTTCTCTCCTGCAAGTGAAACAGAAATATAAGAAGTGATGCAGTAACAGAGTTTATATTTCTTTACTTTCGGCGTCATCATTAATTACAATTCCATAGGATATGAACAAAAATACAATATGTCTTCCTTTTTCTTTTCTTTCACTTTTCCACCCACCAGAAATAGGACTGGAAACACGATGATACAGTTTGATCTGGGAAGCGCTGGTTTCTACAGTGAGTCTGCCCTCTACAGAGTATTAGATACAGCAGTCCGCAGCTCTCAGGTTGGACGTTACAGTGTCGACCCCAATGAGCTTGATTTTGCACCTCTACCAGGTAAGTTCCAACACCAGAAATTAAAATCTTTTTCTGCTTTTTTCTAAAACTTAAATTTTGTACAGTCATTTCAAATAGGCACAAACCCTCCATGATTGCAACAGGAAATATTTCAACTATTATGGTATCATGAAAATGCACTTTAATAAAGTAGTCACCCCGAGAATCAAAAGTGTTTTGAATTGATGCAAAATTCATATCATTGCCAAGGGGAAGCCTGTCTGATCAAATATAACAAATTTCCTCTTCAAAAAAATATGTTTGGGGCCTGCAGTCATCATCTCTCAAAAATGTTAATCCAGATTTTCTGCCTTCAGCGGTCCTCCATAGAGCATCAAGATTTGTGACGTCACATGCGAGACACAGCTAGCCACAAAATTGCATTTTACGCCTTTCCATGATATCTATATGATTTTCCAGCAAATTATTCGTGTTTTTCAAGAGAAAATCTTTCCATCCATATATTTTGTCCATAATTTTCAGTTGTTGTAAATTTTCTTCGGGTGACTACTTTGAATACATGTAGAAAAGTTCTAAGAAATCTGAGTGGTGGAAAGTGTTGCAAAACAAGGAGAAAGTGGCTGAGGAATTTTTTATTTGCAATTTATTCAAGCAATAATGTCATCTACTTGTGCAGGTGCTTCATGTCAATAGTTTTGTTGTGACATTGGGGGCTTTCCTCACCAGGAAAGTAGCATTTTGTAAATAGGATATTGTTTATTCCTCTACTGACCCTGGGGATCATAACATTCACACCCTGTAGACGTGCCTTTCAGATGAGTCTAGAAGAGGCCTGTCCTTATCAGCTCGAGTTTGCCAAATAACCTGCTATTTTCAGACTCAGGATATTATCCCTAAGCTCGAAATTGCGGCCTCACCAGACTGATAAGCTCATAACAAACTAGCTCGGACGGGCGCAAATTAACCCAAATAGCGGGATATTTTGGAAACAAGACCAAGATTACTCAGGATATTTTCCCCAACCAAATATCCCGCTAATTGCAACTGCGGGCTGATGAGGACGCAAATTAACTGGCTAATTTGCAATCAGGATAGTTAAAATAGCAGGTTATATGGCAGACTTGAGCTGATGAGGACGGGCCTATTATGTATTTGAATTTTGTTGTGTGAACAGAACTTGAACCAAATAGTACATGTAGGCCAACCAAAATATACCTTTTTTTCAATCCTTTTTTTTTTGGGGGGGGGGGGGAGGTATTGTTGGGGTATACTAGATTGATCAATAACATTATGGACAAATATGTGGACTGTTACCCTCTTTGATTTTGATGTTGAAGCTCATTTGAAGCTCATTTCAAGTTTATTTCAGGTCAATTGTGGGCAGAATCTTTCTATACCACTCAAATTCAGCAGTATATTACCGGTAAACATAAATGTAATCGCTTTGTTGCACACACCGGAAAGAAAGAGCTACCTTGCTTTTAACTTAATAGTATTTGATTTTGTTGTTTCTCTCTGAGTATGCTTGATGTTTATTGTCCTACTGAATGCAGTCAAGCTGGAGGAGCTGGTGCATACCTATACTCTGCTTCCTGACTGTCAAAGACTCCAAGTGACATATGAGACATGGAGTAATTGTCTATCAAGAAAGGTGAAACGATTAAACTTTTGCTGTTAGGACATGGAACTCCCACTCGATGCCAGACAGAAGTCAAGAACGTGCTACTCTTATTTCTCTTTGTGCCTGCTGATGTTTAGATGAAAAATAACATTTGTTGAACATTCCTTGAAGTCTTCAGGGAACTCCCTATGGTGATGGGATATTGTCTGGAAGAATGATGCCCCATCTCAGAATCATATTGTTTCCATTTGGTTTTAGATGAGGGGGAGAGACGGGTTATTGAACCACTCTGTGTTGAAGATTGTTGGCACATCTTAGAATGATGTTGTTGCTCCTTGGTTTCAAATGAGGCGGAGAGATGGAATAGTAAACCACCCTGTAAAAAAAGATTGTAGTCACATCTTAGAATGAAACTGTAATTGTTTTGTTTTTAATGGGGAAAGAAGGGTTGCAGAACCACTCTGTCAAGCAGATTGCCATCCAGGGAAAAATTAATATTTATTTTTCGGGGGCTACTTTTCAAACTTGACTGCATGAAATTAACACTCTAAAATCTGTTGCCATCACTTTATTAGAATGGTATTTGATCTCTTTGGTCTTTTTAGGTGAAAGAATTGTTAGTGAACCATGCTGTGTGGAAGATTATTGCCACATCTTGGAATGGTGGTGTTTCTTTTGAAGGAAAAAATGGAAAATGTACCACAAAAATTACTGGAAGAGTCACTTTTCTTATAAAAAAGAGGCTAGGCCTGTATGCTTACCCGTTTCTTCAAAAAGTGCACATAGATCTAGATATCTCCAGTAATCTTTAGAAGCTGTTATTTAACTCCAGAAAAATCCAAATAAAATCTGTCTGAAGTCTTGTTATCCCTTGATTTGGTATTCCAATGATCCAGTTCCTGCATTAAGCTTAGGAGAATTAGAACATGCAGTTGCCATTGGCCTTACTCCAATTTAAACCTGACACTATGTTAAGGTGTTTTCTTTCTTTAACATAGGCTTAACAAAGAAGGTAAGTTTGAGGTCAAAGTTTTCCTTCTTTGAATGTGATTTTAGACCCAGAATCAGGTTCAAATGAATAATACAACATGGACAAATAAGTTAAGAACATCAACATACTCTTATGAAATAGTTCTTAATCATGAGAAAGGGTTGATACTGGTATAAAGCGGTAAATGGATCCAGAACCAGAAAGACATCTCACTTCTGACTGCTCAAACTTTCTTCCAAGCTGTGAGGTCCGACTGCAATGGATTCACCTTTGGCAACAAGGATGCACTTTCCTGAGGCAGACAGCTACTAGGCCTGAGTCTGAGGGGGTCCCCCTTCTGAAAATATTGAGAGCTGCTGACATGGGGGGATTTGTGAGGATCTAGAAAATTGGGAGAGAATTGTGACAGATTTTGTCAGCGATGCTCTGCAACTGTTGCTGATAATTTGACTGAATGCGGGTGATGAGAGGGAGGATTTCAGAGCGAGGAGGGATGGATTGAATGAGGAAAGGAAGATGAGGAAGAGGATGGTATGTGGAGAGGTTGAGATGTAGCGGTAAAGATGTAGCAGTATTGAGGAAGATAGAGTAGGATAGGAATATTCACGGAGCGAGGAGAGAGAGAGGATTGGAATGAGAAAGGATGATGGTCTGGGAGAGAAAGAGTGAGAGAAAAAAGAAATAAGGAAGGGAGATTAGAGATTTGAGCTGGGAGGGATGGAGGGATGGATGGAGGAAGATGAGGAGGAAGATGGGATGTGGGGAGTTTTGAGATGTAGCGGGGAGATTGGGGAAGAAAGAGTGGGAGAGGAACATTCACGGATTATAGAGAGAGGGAGGATTGGAATGAGGAAGGATGATGGTCTGGGGACGACAGTGAGAGAAAGAGGAATAAGGAAGGGAGATGAGAGATAGATAGAAGGAGAAACTTTGAGAGGGGATTATATAGAGAGATATCAGGAGGTTTAGATTTCAATGAGAATGAGAATGAAAGAGAGAAAGTATGATTTGGTGGTTTCAGACGGCAGGGTCAAAACAGAAGAGGAAATGTAAAGGAGAATCAAAGATTAAGATGAAGTTAACCTGAGAGAAAGTGAGTAGACATTATAAAAAGATGTCCAGATGGAAGCAAGTAGCAAATAATCAAGAAATGAAGATGCAGAAATTTGTTCATAGAAAAAAAAAGAAAAAAAAAAACAAGAAAGAGATATATATATGCTTTGCCATATTACCGGTATGCCCTGATCTGCATTAATCCTTTGCATGAAGTGATATGAAAGTACGAGGTACATGTAGACCAAAATAATGAAACAATATTTTGTCTTAGCTTCAAACCACAACAGTTCAGGGAGTCCAAAGCTTACAAATTCATATTTCTTCTCTTTGGCATTATCATGATTATTATAGATTTCACTTCCCCTTATAATGATGCATGCTAACCATATGTGTAGGCACCCTAGGTAGTTCCTTTTTTACCCCCTCACCAACTCAAATTATTTCAACACCAGTAGCAACACTATTTATAGTACTCTAACCAAGTACCACCACCTGTGTGTATAGAGAACAAGGGAACCCCTTATGAGGGAGGGTGACCCCCATTTGCTTCTGGGACAATCGCTTCAGGCTTTATTTTGCTAAAGGTACTGACCGTTATAAGGTTAGGATAAAGATTGCTTTTGGGTTTTAGGTTAGGGATAGGGTTAGGGTTAGGTTTAGCTATCGTGTTGGGTCTGGGGTTGAAGTTAAGAACTCTGTTAGTGTAGGAACTTGACATGGAGCGGTTGTCAAAGGAGGAAGCATCGTACAACCCAGAGCCATCTTATACACAGAGTTTGGCCAACCCAGTTCGAGTTGGACACATTATGGCGACAACTGCCTTGTTGGGCAAGCACAAAACAAAGAATATATGCCATGTTGTGACCCTATGAAACCAAGTAGGCCAAACTCTGTGTATAGATGGCTCTGGTACAACCTAAACCATGAGAGAGAGAGAGAGAGAGAGAGAGAGAGAGAGAGAGAGAGAGAGAGAGAGAGAGAGAGATGCCAACAGATTGAGAGGGGATTCCCTGTGCTGACAGTTGACAAGAGAGGGCAGTATAACAGTTAGTTGAGTTATAGGGTGAGAGAAAATTGGAGCATGAGCACTTCTCATTGCTGATTTATGGCATTGATGGCAAAAGGTATCCGTGATGTGAATAGGGGAAATTTGTGCACCATGACAACAAGGCTTCCATGATAGTGTGATCTGAAATAGGATAATAGGATTAAGCTTTCTTAAATGGATAAAGTTATAGATTTAGATACCTTCCATGATTAAAACTTCAAACTCTTATCTTCCAGAACTTAGGTTCTGTAAGACAATATTTTTTGGTTGTAATTTTCCAGCGCATATCTTCCAAAAGTTGTAATTTTTCTTGCCTAAGTAAT